TATTTGAAAGATTTTTTTTGAATATATCGAATTTTTTTGTCAACTTTTGAGATTTAAAAAATACATTTTGGGATGAATTCAGATATTGGTTACAATTTAATCTAAACTAAATTGAGAAGGAACCTAACCGAATCTAATCCGATAATTAGTAAAACCCGAATGAGAATTATGAGCATAATACCAAAATTTAAAAATAAGTCTCAATCAAACCAAAATCGACGAAGTCTCAAATGTCCAGACCTATGATAATTTAAGATACCAACATTTATATTCATCATTTTACAATCGATAAATATTGTAGTGTTGCAAAATGTTAAAACATTTAATGAATAAATATTACTATAAAACTCATCCCGCGCATGCGCGCGGGTTATCATCTAGTTTAGAAGTAAAATGTATAAAATTATTAGTTTTTTAGGTTAAATGATTAAATATATTAACTCTAATATTATTACTATATTTACTTAATCTAATTAAAAAACACTTTGGTTTTTCAGTTTGGTTTGGTTTAAAACTAAACCGAACCATTCAGGTTGATAAAATCTTGAACGAAATTGTTTAGACATATATCTTGGTTCGGTTTCGATTTTTTTTTCCACCCCTACTATGTGTGGTCTCAGTGCTGCTATCTTACATGGCAGTTTTATTACTCTTTGGTTGCATCGATGAGAGGATGATGGAAGGCACAACCTTGGACATCAAGGAGGTAGGTAATATCTGACTGAGGCCAGAGCCGGCCATGAACTGAAGCGGGTTAAGCACATGCTTCCAGCCGCCAAATATTAAGTATTATTTCGACCGCATTTTTCTCAAAACTTCCTTCAGCTTATTTGGTAAACGCACTCTTACTAGATAAATGAGGTCGTGATTTCGAACCTAGTTGGCCACATAAATGTTTTTGGCTAGCACACATGTTCCCTATTATTCATACACATCACAAAAAACTATAAAATGCTGTCAACTAAGCTTCGGTTGGTTTTTCACTTTCTTCAATTTTATTCATTTTCAAGGGTTTCAGTGCCCATTTATCCCATATCTTTTCTTGTTCTCTGCATTTTGATCAACATCTACTTGATCATCAACATAGGGTTAGTGTGTTTGATGGACCATTATAAATGTGTATATACTGGAGCTTTCTAAAACATTGTTGGTGTTTGCAATGGCAGAGTTAGGACATGGATCAGGTCTTGATATGACTACTTGTTGGAAGCATGATCTACCTCTTCTATATATGGCCGGTTTCACAGCTTACTGAACAATGCAAGCAGTGTTCCAACGGCTTGTACAGGGAAAACAACAGATCATCTTCCTTGAGATCGATGATTCATAATAGCAAAACCGAAGGAGTTCAGGCTCAAGCTCAATCTTTGTTGTTGTTGAAGTAGCATTTAAAGAGAATTGCACAGATGGCACAATAGTAAACACTTCCCAATATAGACAACATTTCATGTACATTGTTGGCCATTCTAAACGCACATCTCTTATAATGCCAATTTTTTTTTTTTCATTTCCAGTTTTATACTTTGCCATTTCCGGCTAAAATGATCTTAGGACTGTTGGAAATGCCAAGTCCAGCAACTTTTCGAAATGTCAATTTTTCTCTTGTTTTTTTTTTATATTTTGATTATTACTCAATATAAATGTTTATATTGAAGTTTATTCTCATTTTGTTTGTTTGTTTTGACCTTGAATTTAGAAAATACTTAAGATTTAAAATAATTTAAAAGATACATACTTAGGTTAAGATCTACATTTTTATACACAATAAGTATTCTATATTTATTATTTATTTTATTTAAATAACTAAGAAATCAGTTACTATTATGTAATAAATTGGCGTATGCATATAAATTTAACTCTCACTCTTGTTTATTCGCAATTAGGGTAAGTAAATCAAAATAATCAATCTTATATATTGTATATGATATATAATTAAATTTAAATGATATAAACATAGTAATATAGCACACTTTTAATATGAATATTTATTAAATGAACTTTCTACTCATATGTTTTTTTGATTATTTTCATATTTGTGTAACAAAACTTTACACCAACAAATTTTTGTAATGTGAGATGTTTAGTAGTTTCAATAAATTATAATCATTTTAAAAAACAATGACATATTTCAAACTAAAAAATTAACTTTTCAATATATGTTCAAGGCAAATATCAAAATATAAGTATGTGTTTTCATACGATGTATAGTTTAATTAAACGATATGAAATATATATAAACTAAAATTATTTCTTTATATGGCCTTATAATCATTAAATTTTAATATAAACAAATTAAAACCTTGATTCTAAAAGTTTATGTGGGACTTTTAACAGTTTTAGTAATTTATACTCATTTTGAAAAATTCGAAATACATCATACACAAAAAAAAATCTATATTTTTATTATATGATTTATGTAATTGTGTAATTTATTTTAATAATAAAGAAATAAACAAAATGAGAAAAACTATACAGATTGTTATCAAATCTTTATTGTTTAAAATTATTAATTGTCAGATATATTTTAATCACATTAGGTAATTCTGTAGGTTTTATTTAAGAAAATCATGCGAAACAATAAATATTTGATATATGCGACTAACTATAGCCTACGGAATATTATATTGTTAGAGAATATAATTTTTATACTATACATTATATCACACTTTCTAGAATCCTTGGGATTTGAAATAGAAGCTAAATAGCTATGCTATATAGGATTGAAGTTATTTTTAATTCTTATAGACTTAAGGTTCAATTTTCTAAGCGATTCTCAATTAATATATAGGGGATATGTTTTATGCTTCAATTTGTTTCCCTAATATCAGATTGCATTGTTATTAAGACATGTTTCAGTAGAGATTTATATCGTTGAATGAAATGGTTGAAAATACAAGAAGAATATAGTAATTAAGAAAATATCTAAATATTGTGGAGAAATAGTGATGATGGAGAGAAAAAAATTGGGAGGGAAATTAGGTATGAAGTCCAAATAT